ATTTCTGTTAGATCTAACAATTTTATTCACAGAATACCTACCGAATAAAAATTAGGTGAATCTCGCAAAATTAAATATCTGTAAATAGCTTTAAAATGACTAAAATATTTTTAAAACTAGACCACGCTAAGAAAAGGCGAATATAGATTTGACCAAATTTGAAGTCTACGAATATTTTTAATTGAATCACAACAAAAAAAACAAAATTGAAAATAATACATGTCGTAAATTTTCCCGTTTATCTAAATTACTGCCTAGATAAAATTTCCTTTCAGAAAAGGTGCTATACTTAAAATCAAATCAAGATTATTGGTAGAAAAGTTGTTCACAAAAAAAAAAACAAAAAAATAAAAACGTTATTGTAAAATCAATGCATTTCTCGCTTTGCTCAGAATCTAAAATAACGAAATATAAGGAAAATATTTATTATTATTTTATGTGAATTAAAAAAATTAAATGCTTCAAAATTAACCTACCTAACTAAATTAAATGGTAAAATAATTGTTATGCTATATACAGTGACTCGTGATCGACTATGGTATAGCTACTCTAACAGTATAACCTAACCTAACCTAACCTTACCTACCAATTAAATAAAAATACTTCCTTTTCCTATTTGTCTATAAAATGTTTTAATAGTATAAGATATGTATTGATTTATATGTAAATATAAATATTATATTTTATAGCTACATTTATAAATGTCTAATTGTTTTGTAAATTAATTTTGTAATTATTTTGTTCACGTTGAGACACCGTGAATTAAAAACACCAACAGTTATTTGCCATAAACGAGTAAAAAATTATTAATGCAAAATAAAAATCGTTTTAAAATTTAAATTAAATCTTGAGTTAATGTTAAAAAATTGTTTGATTTTGTTTAATTTACCTATATTGTTAGTTGTATTGCACTAATTGAATATCATATATTTATATATATCTAGATGTTACAATAATATTTCATATCCATAATTAATGGTGTCTAGTTAAAATTAATATTTTGTATGAAATATATTTTATCTTGTTTATTATAATAATAATAATTAATACATAATACATATTATTATCGTACAGTATGATCAGTATGTCATAGGGCAAAAACAATACCAGGATGTTAGTTTGAATTATAATTACAAATGCGGCCATTTATATTACACATGCCATTTTGCATTGAGTTCATTTAGTAAAACTTTAAACGTAATTCTTTGATTTAATTAAAACAATAAGTCAAAAAAATTCACATCCAACAAAAATTACTAGATAAGAAAAATGAGAAATGGCGTAGGGTTAATGATAAAATTAATATATTAGTAGCACAAAATACACAAAAATTACAACTTAAAAACCAGCATTCTTTTCAACCACTAATTTAATTAATAAATTTAATTAATTAATTAAAAAATAATTAACTAATTAATAATTAACTAATTAATAAAACAACCGTTACTAATTTAACTTCCATAATTTTCAATAAAGCTGAAAACAATTTATTAATTAAAGGTGATAAATACAATATTTATCAAACATTAAACTTTCAATCAATTGAAAAACAATTAATACAATGTGAACCTGTTATAAATTATATATAATTTCAAAATCAAAATAAAACAAGTTATAACTTAATAAACAGCATCAATAAAAACTAAAAAAATAAGTTTGGTAAAATATTAAAACAAAATAGTATAGTTAAACGACAAAATACAATTATTAACAACATAGTAAATAAATTAAAAACAAATAATTCAGAAATAGTTCCAATAGATAAATCGAATGCTATTATTATCATTTATACTAATGCAATTCTTAAAAAAACTTCAGATTTTATCAATAATAGCATTCAAAACTTCACATATGACCCAACTATATAATTTACACTAAATAAATTAATAAATTGTTAACAAATACGGAAGAAATCATATCTAAAGTCCAAAAGAAAATATTATTAAAATCTGATTACAAAATAGAGGCTCTACGCTTACATCCATTCATAAAACTACACTAACAAGATAATCCAATTCGTCCATTAATTTACTTTAAATCTGCTCCAGCTTATAACATTGCTAAATATTTAGACACTCTCATAAAAGAAAAATTAAACGTGAATATTGATACTTCTATAAAAAAAACCCTTATGATTTTATTGATAAAATTAATAAAATTAATATTGAGCTAGGTTACAAAATAATTTCTCTCGACATCAAAAATGTTTATACATCTATTCCTGAACAGAAAATTTTTTTAAAAATAAACTTATATATATGTAGTAATACATTTTATGCCAACGAAGTACAAGAAATTATTCAATCGATAAATGTAATTATTAATCAAACTATTTCTTACATAATAATAAATTATATTCATACAAATATAGGTTAGTTATGGGTGATCCTTTTAGTGCTCTTTTATCTGAAATTTGCATGTAAAATTATGAAACCGATAATATTATTAATCATTATTAATCATCGGTTTAATCATGCATTTATAAATTGATAGGTATTATAACAATTTATTCAAACTTTCGATAGTCTTAAAAATGTCTATTGGAAAGATATCAAAAAACGGTTAAGGGTCAAAGTTGCTTAAAAAAAATAAAGCAATCCAAATCTAGTCTCAAAAACAATGGTTTATTTAATAAGTTTTTATTTTACAGCATATGTGTGGATATAAAATGTTAAAAATTCTAATTTACAAAAACAAGTTTGAAATATTTTCTGTTTCCTTTTAACATTAAATCCACGGTATAATTAAAATGTGGATAATTATTATATTTTTATCGTATTACAAAATACAAGTATCTATGTTACTAAATTCCATGTAAAAAGTAAAAACAATAGTGTTATTTTATTATAATTGTGTGAATAGGGGAATAAACACGTCCTAATGATAGTTTAGGTATCCGGGTACCTACAATATTGTTATCTTATCTTATTATCTGTATTTTTTTTCATACATTTTGATTACTTAATATTTACTTAGGTACTCATTTAATCTGCATAACTAAGTGTTTTGTCATTATACATTTTAAAATACGTTGACTGCTATACTGTACTACAATTGTTTATTATTTTACTGCTGTAGATATAATAATTAATATGATTAATATTCATAAACTTACAAAGTGTTATCTCTTGAACAAATATTCTAAAAATATTCCAAAACCCTCCAAACCCAAATATTTATTTCATTGTTTTGCGGCGCCGGTATTATTTGCAATTACTTGTTCAGTTGAGGTTTTTGTTATGGGTATTAGTTGAACCTATAGTTAAACATTTTTTGGTTGGCATCATTCAAACATTTAATTTATCTATTATTAGTGAAAATATTATTTAAATTAAAATAATAATAAATTCGTTTTTAATTTTTTTTTCAAGGTATTTGAATGTGTAAATTGATTACCTAAACATCAAATAAATATTGACATTTATTTTAAAGTCAACTATTTTATTTCAAATTATAAAAGATATTTTTCAATTTTTTTGTGTTACATCATTAATACTAGTAAAATTTAAATAATCATAACTACTATCCCTTAAAATAATTCATAGTTCAAACTATTATTTTCTCTTCTATGCCATGATATAATTGTACAAACTACAAGAGCATATATTTCAGTTTATATAATATTGGAAACATCACAGCAAGTGACCATTAATAATATGGTCTACTAAGAAAATTATGCGTTATTTCTCTGCAACCGGTGGCATAAATTCAGTGATACTCAGTTAACCAACTTGTTTGTGTGGCCAGCACAGCGGTGAACGTGTCGAAGTTTCTTTTACTTTTAACTTCTAAAAGTGAGTATCTACCTAACATCTAGTAGGTACAAGTTTAGTTAGTAATTAATTACAAATTAATTACATTAGTAGAAGAAATAGTACAAATAAAAATATTAATAGACATAGTAAAAATTAATGTTTAGTTATTTAGACTTTTGATTAACAGTCGTAAGTATGCACTATATAGATAGGTATATGGGTTGTTTATAAATAAAAAAATACATACATATACATTTCTATACAAATTGAAAGCAACGAGAAATCATTGAACTAAGAAAATTACTACAATTAAAAACAATTAAACACTTTAACTGTTGACGCGCCTGTTTAAATCGTTTTTGCTAATTGCTCAATATTTTGCAATTTTAAAGACATTGAATTGAAAATTTAAAAACAAATTATACATTTTAAGTTCAATAATTGTATTTTATTGAATACTTATTATTATAGGGCTCGGAACTTATTGCACTTAAAATCCATAAAAAACTACTTGAAAACGTCAAAAAACCTTTGAAAAGAGCACTTGAAAATATTTAAACCGCAAAAAAGGTAGAAGGATTTAAATTTTACCCATCTAACGGCTATACCTTATCTAATACAATTTTCTAACACTACAAAACTAAAGTTACCCAAAGTTATTTTTTTTTAAATACGTACAATTTTATTCAAACAAAATAATTTTTTATTAATAATTTGTTGCGTGTTAGAAAATTATATTTAATAATTTAGAGTCTTTAGACAGGGAACATTCAAACCCTTTTACCATTTAGTCTAATAATATTTGTTTTAAGTGATTGTTTCAAGGCTTTTTTAACGTTTTTAAACGCTTTTTTGTAAATTTTAAGTGTGATATGTCCCGAGCCCTACTTATTAATAATAATTGTATTGTGTTGAATACTTATTAATAATAATAATTTGATTGTATTATTATTATTCTCGATTTAGTATCATTATATCCAAAAAGTCGCTGGGTTTAGTATTTTTACCGTCCAAATAATACCTACCTACTATACCTATTACGCTTACTATAATAATGTCGATATACTCAGGAAATCAAAAAATAATTAAATTAATAAAATCTGTAAAAACGCTTAATTTTAGTATTTATAAAAATGAAAAAAAAAACAAATATAAATGTTTACTCATCAATGAAATTAAATACATTGCATAAACTATCTAATACACAATTGAATTAATCTACATATAATTATAAGCAGTCTTACGAAAACATTTTGCTGTTAAACGAGCAGCACTGCCAAAGTCTTTTAGTCACCTCGTTTCAAATCACTTAAGTATGTTGGATTTTTTGTTTTTAAAGAATTTCAATGTTACCTAACGGTTATTATTTCAAAAAAGAGTGGGTGGTAAATAATTGTTTATAATTTTATCAAGAAGTACTGATTTGAAGAACTGTGTATAAGTTGTTACTGAACATTATTCGTTATTCGTTTGTCTTGTTGTTACTATTTAAGTTATTTAACCATATATGCGTATAAATTTCCAAATATTTTTATGCTAAAAGTATAATAAATTGGTTCTTTTAAAAAAAAAAAAAATATGTATAATACAACTAATTTAGTTTACGATAATTACGTGGACAGCAGTATGGTGCATAAATCACTTCATATAAATCAAAATGGTAAACAATTATCTTTTACATTTGAATTTTATTATAATTTTTATATTTAAATTAAGAGTTTGTTTTCGTTATTCCAGTGAATAACTATAGCACTAAAAAATATGAAGAAGCATACCGTCGATCTTTAGAAGATCCTGAAGGATTTTGGGCTGAAGTTGGTACCGTAGTAGATTGGTATAAGCCCTGGGAAAAAGTTTTAGACAATAGTGCACAACCTTTAACTGATTGGTAAGTACTAGTTATGCATTTTCTTGAAGCATTTCTAATAATAGTTTAAGTAAAACAATATATTTTGTATGAAAAAATAGTCAGTTATTTTAATTAGTATTATTTACCATTTACTTTACACTTATATAATACAGTGCTCTACAATTTTTTATCCAAATTCATAAAGATAATAATAATATAGCATGTTGGATTATATATTCTGTACCACGAATCAGGATAAATAATAAGTCCAGAAAATTGGAATTTGAGTAACTCAAAGTTCATAGAACCATTGATAATACTTTATATTTTATATGCAAAATTTAAATTTATGAAAAAAACTTACGGTTAGGCAATGTGTACTTATTGTATTTTTTATGTTAAATGTAGGTATGTACTTTTTAGTGTATGCAATGGTTTTGTGCTAATCTATGTATTGTGAAAAGACTAAAGTGTTTAACTCCCCTTTGTGTTGCTTTCTAGAAAATTATAAAATTGTATAGGAAGACTGTAAAATGATCCCTATTTATAGAACAATCATTAAAAAAAAAAAATTGATTTTCATTTCTTATTAAAAAAAATTACCATTGTTTTCTTAGTTTTATTTACGAGAATTTTCTAGAAATAATATAATTTTCAAAAATTTTGATAATTTTATATTTGATTTCGAGTAGTAAACCTATAATTTTTGAAAATTCTATAATAAATTAGTCTATATAAATTCGTACAATATTATTTACAGCTTATTTTTTTGAAATAGGATTATAAGAAATGGTCCACTAGAATTGTATTATTCTGCCAATGATTACTGATAGGTATAAAAACTGAATAATATATATACAAATCATAAATATGTAGGTTTGTTTTAAAATTAGGTAACATAAAAAGAATATATTTTTTAATTGTAAAATATTAAGATATTTTGATAGACATTATTAATTATAACTTACTTAAATATAGATATTAATTATTATAAGTTTTTGATGATGTATATATATATATATATATTTGACAACTTTTATCATTAGTTTGCTATTTATATTTTAAACGTATAATTGTAATATTAGAACTAGCTAGTAGGTATATATCTTGTTGGTACCTACTTGATTAGGCAAATGAAGTAATACATATGTTTAGCTCTAGTTAATATTTTATAAAAAAATATAATATTACCATGTCAGAATTAGTATAGGCTCATTGTTTTCAAAAGATAACTGGGTCAGGAAATTGATCCTGTCAAAGGGTAGGGATTGAAGGTTATATAATTAGCTGATTTAATTGTTTTATTTTGTCATACCGTCAGGAATAAAATACACCATGGAAACATTTTGTAACAATGATTTTGTACAAATGTTTTTTTTCGAATTTATTTAATTTGTATCTTTATTTTAGAACAGATGTTTAAATGGTTAAATTAACGAAAAAAATTAATTAATTATTGAAATGTATGTATACAAATTTCTATGCAGTACATAATAGCATGATAAATTAAATAGGTATGACAGCAAAAATTCTATATTCATTGTGTTTACGCATATTCCTTACCCCCGATTTCCCTCTGTCCACATTTGTGACGTAAGCTTTTCGGTACATCTTATTGGTTGTAATATTTACATTCAAATTATCGTGTAATACTTATAATAAAGGTGGTTAACCACGTCTTGCCTTTAAGAGACAAATTAATATTGAATTTAAATTTCCAATTTATTAATTATATTGTTTTATTATTTATTTATTGTTATTTAATGATACTTCTAAACACTAAAAATAAAAATAAACTGACAAAATTTACATCTTAAAGCTACCTATGTTTATTCTTTTATCTGTCTATTTATTCGTTACGAATCATTAATAAATACGGATAATTAACTGAATTTATTTATTTATACAATATATATACACATATTATATTAGCTGAAATGCTTGTGTGTGTATTCAGATTCTTATAGGAGTAAAAAAGGACTTTTTTATATTGAGCAACTTTCAAAACACTTCCCTAGGCAGAAACGTAAATTAAAATTATAGTAACCATATGCATTTATCACAAATCATAACTAATGTTTTTGTATTTTGTATTGTGATAACAGTAGCCGAAAAGCCTACGTCACACGTATCATGCATAATAGGACATACTGGTAGTATTGAAAAACTTGGTCATATTAAAAATATTTATAGAAAATAGTTTTGATAATTACATCTATTATGAAGCCTTTATTCTTCAAGATGCAAAGTTTAATTTGTAAGGTTTCCACATTTCTTAATCGTGTAGGAATTTCTGTCGATGGTGCCATAATTAGTTTAGTCTACCGATGCAGTATAATTGGGTATATAATATCTTTTTATTAACATAATTGAGCACAAAATATGCATTTAAATTATAAAGCGATGTTGCCAAATTCGTTATCCGTTGAAAAAATTTTAGGATCAGGGTTGCAAATGAGATATCCGTTTTTCCACTTGCAGATCTGTAGCTAGACTAGCTCAGGTTAAAATCACATCTTAGAAAAGGGCTCAAAACCAGAATGTATATATAATGAAATATACAATTTTAATGGAAATTAATGAAGAAATAGGCTACATACAGAGTTATCAATTTATCATAAGATACTCATTATCTTGGAAATTATTAACTTTTTTCGGAATTTGTTTTATAGAATATTTAAGAAACAATCAGGTCTACAATTTTACATTTATGTTATTTTTTTCACCCTTATTTTTGGGGGTAAAAACAACTACTTACTTTTGATTGTTAAACGGCAACCTATATTAAAAATTCCTTAAATAGACGGAGTATTAGTTAAAATACATTTTAGTATTGTAATTTATAATTTCCCGTAAATCCATTATTTTATCTTAATTTTATTTATACGTGCATAGCCACTTAGGCGTATATAAATAAAACTAACCTACTAATTATGATGGGTAGTTTAGTATTCAATCAGTAAAATGTTTAAAAAATATATTTTATAGTTTAAACTTTATTATATTATTGTAGTAATTCAAAAATAAGGCGGGGAGGTTTAGCCTAATTATATAAAATATATTCACACGTGTAAGTTAATTATAAATTTGATTACCTTTCTTCTTCAGGTGGCAAATTGATCTGTTGAATTTGATAAAGGTGACCGTAGTAAATAAAAAGATTTTAATATAACAACTGTTTCTTTTTTATTAATTTTTTAAATATAAAACACTGTTCTAGGTTCCCGTGCTTTTGTAAGAATCTCTGCGTAGTCTTTTACACTCGCTTGTGATCATCTGTCTAAAAGCAACGGGAACAATACATACACTGAGTATTGCATACTAAGATACTGTATTCTGTTTATACTAATTTATAAAAAATGCTAAACACAATTGATTTCAAGGCTGATTTTGTTTATTTGACACTATCCCTGTAGATATCCATATATACCTGAGCATTGAATTTCGTATTAAAAGTTTTATAATTGAATGTGCCAAATATAACCAAAAAAGTGAAATATATCTTTTATTTAGAATTGCACATCAATTAAATATATTATTTTCATATACTTAGGTATGGCTTATAATATGTATTTAAGTATTTCAAATTAAATTTTTTTCACTTATAGGTTTGTCGGTGGTCAAATAAATGCATGTTTTAATGCTGTTGATCGCCATATCAAGGCAGGTAAGGGTAAAAAAATTGCCTTAATCCATGATAGTCCTGTAACTAAAACTGTAACAAAAATTACATACGAAGATCTCTATGAACAAGTTTGTATACGTATAAAATCAATAGTTAATCTGTATAATATATTATGATTATTATGTTTTAAGGTGTCATTGTTAGCGGGCGCTTTAGTCAATTTAGGCGTAGTAAAAGGCGATCGTATTTTAATTTACATGCCACTTATACCAGAAGCTATAATATCAATGTTAGCTGTTGTTCGCATTGGAGCTGTTCATTCTGTAGTTTTTGGTGGTAAGTTAAGTTAAATTATAAATTAATTAGGTATTCAAATTAAATATAATCAGAATCTAAAATAAATTTAATTTGCAGTGTTCTTTTTTAGTGTTTATAACTAATAAGTAGTTTTAATTAGGAGGTACCTACTTAATTTAAAAAAATATCTATATTTATAGATACTTAAATTATATTATAATTTAAGTGCATTTCGAATTAGGAATAAAGGTCATAAGATTTAGTCTGGGAATAGTGAATAGTATAGCAGGAAACAGTGATGTAGCCAGAATTCAGGAAAACTCCCTATAGTATTTCCCCAAATAAATTTCCTTTCAGAAAAAGTCATTGTAAATCAGAGAACTATTTCTGGTAGAAAAGTTATCCAAAGAAAAAAAAAACATTGTTGTAAAACTAATTCCTACATTCCTACATTCCTTGCTCCACTCAGAATTAAAAATATTTGTGATAATCATGAGCTAAGATAGGTATAGGTACGTATCGCGGTTATATAAATGTGTAGATAACCGTGGTACGTAAAAATATAATAAAAAGCCTGCGGTGGATCCAGACGTTTTTTAAAGGGGGGAGGAACACATTATTTATATTTTTAGTAAATTAATATTAAATAAGTACCTAAATAAAAATCTTTAGTCCATTGACAGGAAGGACATGTGCCCCAGTGCCCCCCTGGATCCACCACTGTAAAAAGCTATATTTGTGAAATATATCTATGGTCTATGCCTCTATGGAATGTGGATACTTATATTATTTTTAATTATACCCTATCATATTCCGTGATGATATATAATCTTATTGTAGGAATGCGACAGCTGAGGGTACCTATGTTTATTGTAATTATAAATAAATATAAAACTGTAATTGTTTAACTTTCAAAATTATGCATATTATTTAGTTATTTTATTATTTGGCTTTATTATATTCCTAAAATGTTTTCATTATAGTCATAATAAATTATAATTATTATCAAATTGAGTGAAAGATCTTAAGAGTTAAGACAAACATAAAAATAGAAATTTGGAAGAATTATTTTGTGTTTTAATGTTGGTATTATTTGTTAGTTTAGCTACAGAGGGAAGTGTAGGGATAAAGTCCCTCACGGTTCTATGATAAATCTATAGTGAAAATATCACTGATAAAATCATCCATATTACAGTTTTTTAAATTTATTTGTAGTGATCTAATTAGACGTGGTACACTATATTCATTGTGTAAAAAATAAAATTAATAAATTTAAAATGTGAATTCTCCCAAATAGATATTGAAAAGCTGACGTTACGCTAAATATCTTTTTAATATCTAATATTCATTTATCGTGATTCTTGAATTTTATTTTTTTTGGGACAAAGCTCTCCAGAAATTTATTTTTCTAATTAACCTGCAAGCATATTTTTCGTATTATTTTGATTTCATAATTTCTTTGGCGGGGCTATAACAAGTGCAAATGTTTATAAATAACTCTTATAATAAAACTTGTTCTTATATTAAAAATTTAACTTCCAAATAGATTTATTATACAATTTATATTTTTATGTAAAAAATTGATAATAAAATATTTTTACCGGAGATATATTGTAGGAAATATTTTGATGTGGAACTTAGAAAATTTAAGTAAAGCCTTTGGTAGAAAAGTTGTTTACGAACACAAAATACCTAACCAATACCTAGGTACCTACCTACATTCCTTGCTGCACTTAGAATATAGCATATTTTGCCAAACTTTTCTACTGGATACCTACTTATTTTTCACGTGTGCTAATATTACAAATTTAAATAATTAAGATCTTTAATTATTATAGGTATAATAATATCTTTAATTGTCTGGCATGGACAATTATAGGTACCAATTTGTTTTATCTTTTAATGCTTTAAAATTATTTTATGATAATCATATTATTATAGCTTCTCTATTTTTAAGTAAAATATTTTAAGAAGTATGTTATTATTATAGATATTATTTATTACCTATCATACATTAACAATAACAAAATTTCTTAGGTTTTGCAGCACGTGAACTTTGTGCCCGTATTAACCATGCTACTCCAAAAATTATAATAGCTGCTAATTGTGGAATTGAACCAAACAAAGTAGTGAGGTATATATAATTGACAAAAAATATTAATTTAATTTATTAACATGTGGAACTACAATATATTAATTATTACTTATTAGTATTATAATTCTTAATCTAGGTACAAAGATATTCTAAATACTGCTTTAGATCGAGTAACAAAAAAACCTAAACATTGCATTATTTATCAAAGACCAAACATGGAACCTTCATTATTAACTCCAGGGGTTGATATACTTTGGTCAGATGCATTGTCAACAGCTAAACATCATCCTTGTGTACCTGTCGAAGCAAATCATCCTCTTTATATATTATATACTTCAGGCACTACGGGTTTGTAATTCTAAAACATTTTCTAAATAATAAAACTGTATACAATATCAAAATATATGTGTAAAATACTAAACTATTAATATTTATGAACACTACCTACAAATGTTTTTTCGGGGCATTTAAAAACTTGAAATATTCATAGGTACCTATAATATAATGATATTTACCTACCTGGTTCACTACACTACAGACAATGTTATATACCTATTGATAGGGTTTGATTAAGTTAGGTAAAGCAATATTTTCTGACTACGGCATTGATGTAATGTAATATGTAGGTACCTATACCTATAACATATCATAATTTGATGTGTGTGTTTTTTAGTTTATTTATTAAAGTAGCATCTAGTAGGAAATAACTCGAGACAGTGGTGTGCACATTCTTTTTAATTGAAAATTCATGAACACGCTACTGGTTTAAGAAGTATACCTATATTTATTTTAATAATGAATATGATTCTTTTAGATAAAATAACTTGGTATTATTTATCATTAACCAATATTAACATTGTATTATTACTAACCTACAATTTTAATATGATTTCGAGCAGAAGAAATTGAATGAAATGGAGTTCTAAAGAAAATTCAGCCCATTTATTTTGTATTTCTTATGTGGATAAGCAGATTAATAATTTTATGAAATTGTGTACTATAACCTAATTTTTATGTTACACAGATGGAATATTATATTATAGTTCTTTAAAATAAATTAGTTTATAACTAAATACCATAACAGTAAAAGTTACAATTTGTCAATACATTTCTAGTAGGTACCTACTTATTAACTATTATAAATTCATTAATTTATTTTCAGATAAACCTAAAGGAATTGTTCGACCAACTGGGGGACATATTGCAACATTATGTTGGACAATGAGTTGCATTTATGGTATGACAGGAGATGATGTTTGGTGGACTGCGTCTGATATGGGATGGGTTGTTGGTCATTCATATATATGTTATGGTCCACTATGCGCTGGACTTACATCAGTCATGTATGAAGGTAAACCAGATAGGACACCTGATCCTGGACAATATTTTAGGTAAATCATATTTAATTTAAACATTAATAAGAATTATTGTATAATGTTTATCATATAATCTATTGAAAACTATTATCAAGAGAGTTAGCCTTAATTTAATTAATTAGTTTTATACACAATTGTATAATTAGGTATTTTATGTTTTGAGATATTTAAATTATATGTTACAGAGAGTTATTATTATACTACAAATATAATTTAATACTATTATTTAATTACTATATATATTTCATATTATCTTATAGAATTTATTAAATAGTATAACATAAATAATATTTTTAATTTAAGAGTAATCCAAGATCATAAAGTTAATGGACTGTTTACCGCACCAACTGCTTTAAGAGTCATCAAAAGAGAAGATCCAAATTTGGAATTTGGTAGTAAATATAATACAAAATCGTAAGTAATACAGCTTCTAATGTAGGTACCTAAATTATTCTGTACTAAAAATATATTTTATTCACAGTCTGAGGACTTTATTTGTTGCGGGGGAACATTGTGATCATGAAACACTGACATGGGCTGGAAAAGTTCTAAATGTAAGTAAAAAACAATTATAATATGATAAAATAATATAATACAAGTATGATTATATTTTATTACATAATTGAATTAGGCTAGTAAATATAAATTTTAGATTGAAAGTGGAATGAATTTCTGTTTTGCAATGATATTTTTGTTTGTACAGCAGATTGATTTAGAAGTTAAATTGTATCTATAGATTTACAAATATATATATATATATATATATATACCTATAAGAAAATCCTAAATAAATGAAAAAGTAGGTATGTAGAACTGTAGGAGGTTCCAAGTTTAGTTGGAATAGGGCAAGAAAATATTTTACAATTTTATAATAGATCAAACTCAATAAGTTATCATTAGATATAAATATTAAACAGATTATATTGTTTACACACTTCATTTAAAATTTAATATTATTAAAAATATATAACCATGCATTTAAATTGTAATAAATAATCAAGATTTTTGTTGTTACTATAGTGATACTATTGTAATATTTAGGATAAATGTTGAGCTTTTGACTGGTTAAATACTTTTGGTCAATTGTCCATATTTGTATGGACAATAGAAGTCAAAATCTAAAAATTGAAAAATTATAACTTGTAAAATGCTTAATTATATTATTAAATTTAAAATGCATTTTTTAATTTTTACTAAAGTTGTCTAAAGATATGCACATCGAATGAATGGTTAGACAATTTTAATAATTTTAAACATTATTGATCAACTAAGTAATAATTATTCATTTTATCTTTAATGTGGTTAGGTAAATATAAAAACAAAATTTTATTCTAAAAACAAATATTAATAAACAACACAAATAATACAATTCATAATAAATTAAGGTAGTTATTTTAATATATATTATTTATACAACTAAAAATTCACCATATTTTGAACAATCAAATTACCAAGTGTCAACCCTGTTTAGAATGATCCTATTTATAGTTTTAAATCAATCTTGAATTTATTGATTATTTTTATTTTTAAAACTTTTAATTATATATTTAAAACGTATAATATACCTATATGAATACCTGTACTTTAAAACTATAGATTACTATAATATTTTTTTATTGTTTACTAAGGTACCCGTTTTGAATCACTGGTGGCAAACTGAAACTGGTCATTCAATTACAGCTACTTGTCTGGGATTTGGACATAACCTAAAGCCTCCAATGTTTTCCGCGGGTATGCCATTCCCTGGATATGATGGTAAGAAGATAATTATTTTTGTTTTTGGTAAAATTAATAAAAACTAAACTGAATAAAAAAAATGTATGGTCTTACTTATTTTCAACTTTTTAAAACTTTTAGTAAGGATTTTAAAAGAAGACGGCAGTCCATGTCGGCTATACGAATTGGGTAGAATTGTGGTTAAACTTCCATTACCACCTGGAGTTATGTCATGTCTATATAAAGCCCCTGAACGGTTTATTAATACATATTTTAATAATTTCATTGTACGAAAATTAGTACACATTTTAGTTTTGCGGTTAAAGCTAATATTGAATATTTATTATATCAGGGTTATTATGATACAATGGATGCTGGCTATACTGATGAATATGGTTATATTTACGTCACAGCCAGAGACGATGATGTTATTAATGTGGCTGGACATAGACTATCGACATCTGCATTAGAAGACGTCATTTTATCACATCCAGACGTTGGTGATGCTGCTGTATTTGGAGTTCCAGAGAATACCAAAGGGGAAATACCTTTATGTCTTTATATAAAAAATAAAAGTTAGTTAGTAATTGAGTTTTGAATTTAATGTAGTTTATAAATAAAATTTGACTAAATTAGATTGCAGTAAAAATGAAGAAGAAATTAATAATGAAATCGTACAAAATGTTAGAGATTTAATTGGACCAATTGCATCATTTCATTTATGTTCACCTGTGGAAGGGTTACCAAGAACAAGATCAGGCAAAACAGCTAGGAAATCATTATCAAATTTAGCTAGTGGGAAAAAAGTTATAGTAAGTTAAATATAAGTAAATTATTTAACATAGATGATATAGATAATAGATAACTATAAGAAATCTGAAAATCATTTTGATCAACATAATAATATTAAATATGTACATGTATATATATTATTATAATTGAAAATAAACGTTTTTTTCGTGATCTTTATAAGACATTCCATTTTAAATATAAAAAGATACCAATTTGTTGTAAATTATACAAATGAGGTACTTATCTATTTATATTTTTATGTAGGTAGTTTAATGCATTATTAGTGAAAAGTTATTTTACTAATTGTGACTTTTTATTAATTTTATTATAAATGTGTTTATTTTTTATACTTTTGAAGCGGTGCCATCTTTAAATGTTAAATTTATATTTTTGCCAATATGACACTTTAGAGTAGTAATATTATTAATTACTCGTAATTCAAATTTTTAATTGTTTTTACAAAAAGTGCCTGTAAATATATAAATTATAAATGTATACAACTCATTATCCTGACTTTCCATTGATACTACCTATACATAATAATTAAAAAGTTAGTTCAAATTATAAAAAACAAAAATAATTTTGTTACAGATATCAGGAACGATAGAAGATCCTTTAGTATATTTGGACATTAAGAAGGTACTACAAAAACTTGGGTATGCTAAAAATGCTCCAGATCCCGAAACCGAAAAATAACAAAAGGATGCATAATAAAAAAATTATGTTAATTTTTTTAAATTTTGATTATTTGATTCTTAGTATAATTGATATATTGTTAAACAACTAAATGTGGAATCTATAATCAATTTAATTGTGAAGCTATAACAATTTATAACTCACTGTCCGTATCAGTACGGATTAAAAAAAAAATTTCAGACAAATTATGAACATTCTCAACCATTAGGTAATTAATAAAAAAAAAGTCTTAATCAGTGCAATATAAACACCACAGTGTGTTTGGTGTAAATGATACTATACCATTTTTATAATCTTAAAGGCTCACTGACATAGAGGGGAGATGCCCAACCATCCATGAATCCAATATACACACAGGCCTATTCAAGTCCAGTTTTGGTACTGGTCCTAAACTTAATATATACCTAATATATATTATTCTATAAATACGAATAATAAAATTAATTCCCTTTTTGTGTATCTTAAAAAAACATTTTAATAATTCCAAAGAACTCATATTATTATTAGGTAACCTACCTATTTATAATTGTTGTTTGATGCACAAGCAGACAACTGTAAGTTGTGTAGAATGTCTCTTTAGTTCTTAATATTATATATTATTTTTTAAATTTTAACCTTGGAAGTATAATTTTTAGTATTGAAATAAAATTCATAAAAAAATATATTGCGTTCAATAAAAGTCTTGCTTGCCATTAGGGATACAAATTTAAATTCATTTATAATTATTAATTTATTCTACTTTTAATATAATTAAAAATAAATTTAAAAGCATTAAGAATATAATATTTTTTAATTTGTTAGGTAATCAATGAGTTTTGGTAAATAATAAATATTCATGAGATCAACATATATTATGAGTTAGTATAGTAGGCAAACCTACTAGATATTATTTTATATGAACAATATATTATATTATTTAAATTTAAAAAAATTGTTTCTGTTTACTTAAAATACTACTGTTTAAGAAAAAAATTGTAAATATTATGAAAAATAAAATAAAATAATATTATTAACTAACTAATTTATGATTAATAGTTTTACCAGTGTCTATATTTGTGTTACAATGATTGATTTTAAAATTAAATAGATAAGTGTAAAACTTAAAAATCGTATAATTGGGATGGATGGTTTATTCTTGGCAACAAAGTACCTGAGCATTTCCAGAAAAAATTCGCAAAAACTGTTTTCCCAAGCACAATAAAATATTGAAAAATGAAGTACCTACACTTCAATTTTATTTATACTTAAATAATTTAAATATAAAAAATCAGTTACAATATTTTACAAAAAATTAAAAAAAACTATATCACAGAATTTTACAATCAAATTTAATTCAAATAATTAAAACATTACTTAATTGAATTGGAATAAAGTTAAATTGAAAATAATGACTTAGAAAAACTATTTGATGTTTTAATAAAATTAATACTAGTAAACACTAAATTACACAGTAAACAATGAATATTATAAATTATAATACCTAATTAACAAATAAAGATATTAATATTTCATTATAATCAAAAGTCTTATTAATAATCATTAATCATTGTATAGTTTCCATTCCTTTTTTGTCGGAAATTGTATGCCTAGTTAGTACGTTGTACCCATAATTCGTAGGTAATGGATTTTAGTTAGATACCTAATTAAACGTTTTACTAGATTGTACAACTAGGTACATTAATTTTGTTACCTACTATATATTATAAAATATTGTTTGGAATTAATCCTGTTATTTATTTATTTATTTTACAATTTATACGCTAAATGGTAGTTACAAAGGGGTAGAAAACAATACTAGTTAATACAACTCTACAAACAAAACAATATTGTTGTACATATAATTATGAATATAACAAAAAAATAAAGTATATTTAACATAAAGGGAATCTAGAAGATGGGAGTCAGGAGTTAAGTGTTCTGAACATATGGTGAACTGGGTGGTTATGTCTATGAACGAGGTGGTTTGAGTGTAGGGACTATAGGGGTAATGAAAGGAAATTGGTTCCGGTAGGGTACGATGGGACTCTAAAACAGATTCTTTTTAGAAGAACTGGAGCATCCCGGGATTCATTTAGCTGTGAATCTTAATGAATCTTAATAAGCTAATAAGCTTCGAGGTGACATGTAGATGTGAGTTTGGACGTGAAGAAATTCACGGATGTGGTGTGTGTTCGGAATGTTGAGTATAAAAGTAGCACAAGCAAAACATTTATTTTGTATTCGTTCAAGGCGAAGTTGGGTTTTCTCCTCTTAAGGAAAGGGTGTCAAACAATCAAACCAACTTAGACAAGGGGTCTAACGAACGCAATATATAACGAACGGAGACAAAGAGCAGATTTGAAACTTTTAGTGTTACGTTTAATGAATCCAAGTACCTACTTTCAGTGCTCTATAATAACGATAAAGTTAATGTGATGTTTAAAAGAAAGATAGGAAAAGTAGAATATCCTTCAAGGTCGTTAACAATGGAAGCACGTTGTAGCAGATGGTTATTGTATAGGAGTGCATTATGAAAGAACAAAGAAGACATTATTTGTCACTTCAAGTGTTAAGAAAAAGCCATTACTAGTAAGCTAGTGATTGAAAATTTCTAGTTCAGCCTGAACTAGAACTTTTTGACTCCCAAAAAAGGAATCGATTTTAGTATAAAATTGTATGTCATCAACATATAATATATAATTTTCACCTTATTTAAGTTCAAATAGTCGGCAATTGAATTCATGAATTGACAGTGGACTTAAATGGTTATTTAAACCACCTTGAGAACTCCGGATGAAACTTCAACTAGACTCGAAAGGTTATTATTAAGTTTTACGAACTGAGATCTGCCTGTGTAATAAGAAGTGGGTTACCAATACCTAAGTTCATCACTTGTATAGAGAGCCAATTGTGATTTATAGAATCAAAAGCTTTTGAGTCAGGGGGTGTAAAAACGCGACAGTTAACTCTCTTTGAAGGCTGGATGATCATCTTGGCCGATCAGGACTCAGGAGAGTTCAGCCCCAACCAGTTCGGATTCTGGAGAGACATGTCGAGGGTGGAGGAATCCACCAATAAGGTGCTCGACCTGACCAAATGAGCAAACTAAGGGCCCTTTGAACATCAGAAGCTAATTTTTTTTAAATTCTAAAACATTTTTATTCATTAATGCCATCGTTTAATATTGAACAACTTTACATACCTTCACAACCAGGATTTTAAAAATGACCATCCAGTTTACAAAATAATATTTACTTCTCAAGTTTTGATCTAAAATGTATTGTATTTTAACATTATTTTCATAATTTTGCTTGTATAAAAAAAATGTATTTGATTTACGATCTGCAGACTTCATTAATTTCCATCAATTTCTCTATAGATGATCCAATATTGTTATCATTAAGTGTGTTCATTTTCTCTTATGCGTTGTTTGTTCCGGCACAAGAAACAGTTTTCGTTCTCGTTACCGGAAACTCATTCTTGGCTAATTCGATTTAGCAGTATTCTATATCGTATACTAACCTACCTAATTTCAAACATTTTTACTCGCAAACAAACTATAAATTTCATTATTTTATTTCAAAAAAGTATAGTAGGTACGCATTATATATAGAACATGTTTTATTTTTGTACCTATATTTACTACCTATTTAATTAATATTCGTTTAATCATGAATTCATGACATTTAAAATTTAAATTATAGTTTGAATTGGTATTTATTTCTAATTTATTATTTTTAAATTTTGTTGACAGCTCAATATTATAGGTACCTACTCGAAAACAATATTTTGTAAATATATGATATATGGCTGCGTCAAACAGTTCAATTGTATGAAACTAATTATATTTTTGGGGAGAAATCGCGTTTAATGCATTACTAGATCGTGGTGATAATTCCATATGGACAGTGGGCACAATTTGCCGACATGTAGCCACGATACGGAAAAAAAACCCCAATTACTATATAGATAATGAGATTTTTAAATGATTATTTTACTCTACCTATTTAAGGAATTCAATTTTTTATAAAGGTTGTCATATAAAAATCAAAGGTATAGGTAGTCGCTTCACCGCCGAAAATAAGGGTGACAAAAAATAACGATAACTCGAAAATAAGTTTAGAGATGTTCGTTTCTTTAATTTTTGAAAAGAAAAAGTCGTTTTTAAAAAAGTCATTACTTTGCGAAATAATAAGTGTTTTATGTTAAATGAATCACACTGTATATATATATATATGTAATACGACGACGGGCAATAAAACTTAATACCTATAATATCTATAATTGAGGCCCTTGTAAATTATTACTGCAATCGTGAGAAGTATATCCGTATTTTTTTCATATCAATCATTGGTATTAAATTAAATTATTTCGCCCCCTCCCCATATTCAAGGTTTAGAGACGCCCCTATAAATAAACAACGTGTTACGCCATTATACCATACGTGGCCGAAAAAATCGATCGGATTCCAACGATTGAAAAAAACATTCACTGATTTTATTTGTACCACTCCGACAGCATCATTGTTGCAAAATGTATTAAAATTTATAATTTTTCGCGTTATATTTTTAATTTCTTTTTTTTTTTTCATTAATCAATATTACTACGATATTACATCCGTTAAAACGATGGACGTACCGCTGTTTACCCTCGCAACGTTGTGTATTGGTTGTTCGATTGGATACGATCTCCGGCCGTCGCTGTACGGCGGATGACACTAAACATAACGTAAGTATATCTAAAGAATAATTTATTACATACCAGTTTTTCATTATGTTTGACGGTAAATAATTCATGTGCTGAGAATAACGTACTTACGAGTACCTTTTGAAAATTAATTCCCCCCGTAAAGAGGACTCCCACTGACTGAATGTGTGTTTACTATATATTTTACATTCTATTATAGAAGCATTTTCCATTGGTTTCATTATGAACCTATGGATACCACCGGCCCTTTGGATACCGATATTGAGATCGATCCTACAAATACCGACCATATGGGTATGGAATTTCAAACTCTCGTTCCCGAAAACGACAAGCTTATAGCTATCGAGTGGGTGACAAGCGATCTGCCAAGTTAGTATAATTAAAATTGTAAAACCAAAATATGATTAATAAATAGTATTTGAATAATAATTAAAAACTATTCATGCCAATATTCCAATCATAATTTTATCTTGCCCAACACGATTCAGTTATCGGAAAATTTGAATGTATACAGTACACAGACATTTGCATTTAATGTTTGCGCGCAAGAGGGGAAATCACGGAAAATGATTTATTTCCAACAAATTCTCATACACTTAATTTATACTTCTAAACTAAAAATTCTGACAAATATATTATAAATAATTTATCGTTTATTTAAGAATCAATATTTGTATTTTGTTTAATTATTAAGTTAAAAGCGTTTGTTAGAACTCAAAAAAAAAAAAAAAATTTATACTTGCATATAATTTGGTAACATACCATTCATTATGATTTTATAGACATTTTATAATTTAATTAAAATTTAGCGATCCTTGTATTTACTATTTACTATTTTTATTAGTCTTCAAAATACGGACGTCTACAGCCAAAAAAATCACCGAAGCCCGTTTTCGGAGATTATATAACTCTGCTGTTATCCAGCAATGTCTGTGGATCAACTATTACATCTACTGAAAGAAATTTACTATTGACCAAAAGGAAAGGTAATATACTCGATGATTTTTAAAACTCGATAGGTTTAAAAATGTTATTCTATCCGAATGTTTAAAATTTCATTTAAATGTTATTTTTGTTTTATTATTATTATGATTAACACGCGTTACAATAAAACCATTTCGTAATCGGTTCATAATGGAAAATGTTTTAACGTTTCGCAGAAAATATTTGATCAAATATTGGAACATTTATTCGGAGAATACCGGCGTTTCCCCGCTTACAAGCGACAAGAACTATTATTAGCAGATCAACTTTATAGTGGCTTCCTAGACCGCGGTATCATTGAGTAAGTAATATTCTAACGGTTATCAATAGAAAATAGTAAAAATAATTATTTATTTATTTGTTTAATTATGTAATTAATATTATGATACATTTATTTAGAAAGTATCTAGATACTCTATCTTAAATACATGTAGCTAGATATATTACAGCACTGGTCGTAGTCTAGCAGTGCTATGCACTTGTTGTCATCCTAAAGATCTCAATTTCAAACCTGAAGTGTGTAAATATATTTTGCAAAACTATGTTGAGCAGGTACCATTTTTAAAATCAAATTTTGACAAAAATCGTAAATATTACGGCTTTTCAAAACATGTATAACCGAACTTTGCTCCATTTTCGGTTACCAATGGTTAATCGTTGGTTATAGGTATAAATGAAATAACCTTATGTATCCCACCTTCTCCACTACCCACTTACAATAGTGACCACACCCGTCCACAATATCAGCTGAATTTTTTTTTTCAATTGGTTTTGTACGAAGGGGACACGTGTAGAGAAAAGTATTTTTATTTTCATCCCTTAATTATTGAAAAAAATTATTGTTTTATTATTTT